TTTATACAAAATAAAATCTAGTTAAGTAATGACGTTGCAATGTACCTGTTCTGTGGAATGGTCAAACGCTCAAGGCGTTGTGTTAAAACGTTTCAAGTCATTGACGACAAAACTGGTATTGACTCGCAATGATTTCCGAGACATTTTCATTGATGTATCAGCTGACAAAGGTGTACTTCACCGTTTAGCATTGAAAGATATTGCAGTACATAAACGTTTTGCTTGTGATGGCAAAGCAACAATCCATTTTAAAACTGAAAAAGTCATGATGATGATTTCAAATGCTCCTGTTGCACAACTTGCTGAATTCCTTAAGACCCTTTTTATCAAGGTTACAGGACGAAAGGAATCACCTCAGGTATGTCATATAATWTATAAATTTAACTGTAGGTCTGTAGCATAATGAGAGTAATTTGTAACTTATTTACTACTATGTAAAATTTTAGGTAAAAATCAGGGATCGACTTTTAGCTGTTAAAAGTAGCTCTAATGAAGAAATCAGTCCCATAAACGTTAAAGATATTGGACGTGTTGATCATAAATTAGAAGGTCCATGTATGAAAAAAAAGAAATTAAATGATGAATTGATAAACCAAAATGTCAAAAAAAGTTATTTAATTAATTTAAAAGATAAACTAACTGATGAACAACGAGAAGTAGTTGAAGCTATTAATACCAAACATAATATATTTTTTACTGGTAAGTACCTGGTATATTATAATTGTATTAATTAAAATTTACTTAAGTATTCAAATGTTTAACTAGTTACTGAAAACAAATACGTATCTAAATATAAGAAAATTAGTTTATACCACAACCTTGTTGTATATACATAACCATACAAAAATACTATTACTTCTAGAGGTGAAAATCTTTTTATTATATCTTGAAGTATTGTGTTAAAAAGAAATTTTGATTTCGATTTGAATTCAAATTAAAAAAGTGTAATACCTAAGTAGGTAACATGTGGTGAAAAATAAATAAATCTAAAACTTTTAAAACTTAACATATACTCTTAATTTATATGGAAGTCATTGTATTTATTTGTACCTATTTAAAGTTTATCAAATATTTTAGATCGTAAAAAAACTAGAATTCAAATTTCCTATACATTTACAGGTAGTGCTGGAACAGGTAAATCTTTTTTATTACGTTATATTGTGAATACCTTACCTCCTGATGTAACAATGGTGACTGCTAGTACTGGTGCATCAGCTTGTCTTATTGGAGGAGTAACGTTACACTCATTTGCTGGTATTGGTATTGGTGAATGCACTATTGAACGAGGTATTGAAATGGCTTCTAAATCATCAGCCGCACAAGTTTGGCGTAAATGTAAAATACTTATTATTGATGAAATATCAATGGTAGATGGGGAATACTTTGAAGTAACTATTATATTATATTTTTAATATATTTTAAATTGTTATTTCAGTTAATTACAAATTCTGTTTAAACATTTTTTTTTAGAAACTTGACAAAATAGCAAAAGCTGTTCGTAAACGAGATGAACCATTTGGTGGTATAAAGTTAGTGTTGTGTGGTGATTTTTTACAATTGCCTCCTGTAAAACAAGGAAAATCTAGATTCTGTTTCCAAACTAAAACTTGGGCAGAGTGTCGTTTTCGTTGTTTCAACTTAAAATTTGTGCATAGACAGTCGGATAATGAATTTATAAAAATTTTAAATGAACTACGCTTAGGAAAGTATGTAAAATAATGTCTTGTAATTTAAAATTAATAAGTAGATAGATATATTTATATCTGAACATTTTCAGTATAGATCCAGATACAGCAACCAAATTAAAAGCCACATCGTTTAATTTATTAGAACAAAATGGAATTGTACCTACCCGTCTATGTTGTCGGACAGCTGATGCTCAAATGATAAATCAGACAAAAATATTAGATTTACCAGGCAAAGTATATAAATTTGAAGCTTTTGATAGTGGTCCAACAAAAATATTAGATGATCATACTCCCGTGGCAAAATCATTTGTTCTTAAGACTGGTGCTCAAGTAATGTTATTAAAAAACTTAAGTGTATCATCAGGGCTAGTGAATGGTGCTAGAGGAGTGGTCAAAGATTTTGATAAAAATGGTTAGTTGATGATTTTTTATTAATTATTGCTATATTTGGGTAGTATCTTAATTTGATTTAGTTGTAACTTAATAGTATTGTATAAAAAGTTTAGTCATTATAAATTATATAATGTTATAATCTAAGGTATTTCATATCAACTTATAACTTTGATATAAGTATTTTATTTTATTTTTATTTTTTTTTTGAAATTTCTCTATGTATAAAGCAACACATTAAATACTTAAGTAATTAACTTAAATATTTAGGATTTTCTAAATTGTTGTATGTTATACTAGTGTATGTTAAACAATACCCAGTATTAACATATTATTTTGGTTATGACAATTTGATTACAATGTGTATGTGATGCAAAATTTAAAAAAAATAAAAATGACTGTTTAAAACAAAATATTATATGGTTATCTCTCAATTAAATTTTGTTATTAGCTTTATAATTAAAATAATTTTTATCATTTTAGGTTCTCCTTGTGTCCAATTTAAATGTGGTAATACAGTTACTATTAAACCTGAAAAGTGGATAGTCAAAACTCCTACCGGACAATTTATTTCAAGGCAACAAGTTCCTTTGAAATTAGCTTGGGCATTTTCTATTCATAAGTCACAGGTCATTATATAATATGGTCATAATAAATATAAATTTTAATAATTCTAAATGAAATTTATTTTTTAGGGTTTAACATTGGATTGTGTTGAAATATCTTTAGSGCGGGTGTTTGAAGCAGGACAAGCTTATGTTGCATTATCTAGAGCTAAAAGCTTGACATCTTTACGAATTTTAGATTTTGACAAGAAACACGTTTGGGCAAATCCTGATGTGATAGCATTTTATAATAAATTAGATAGAATTGTTGAATCTGATAAAATGTATATTTTAGGTAAAAAAAATATGGAAAAATAAAATGTAAAGTCTACTAATGTAATTTAAAGTAGTGAAATGGTCATACATTTCATTTTGAGTGTTACAATAAGTAAATCGAATAAGTTATTAATATAAAACAGTTAATATTTAATAACTTTTAAAATGTTAAACACTTATATCTAATGATATTATGCTATTTTTCATTTGATCTCAAAAAATTTATTTATAATGTATCTATGTATTAACTATGCAATTTAAACAATTTTTTTTTTAGAATTATTTATTTGTTATAAAATAAAATGAATTTTTGTTTTTAGRTTTATATTATTTAATCATTATTATATAATTATATATCATATTGTTTATATTATAAAATGTTATATTATTTAGGTTGTCTAACAAATAATTAATATTAAATTTTATATAACACCAAAATATAAATAAAAAATTAGTTTTGAATAAGATAGATACTAAATTTGTACACATAAAAAAATTCAAATTTACCATTCATTATACTATACAATTTAATTGGTGTAAGATGTTGAGATATTGTGTTGTCTTAAAGATGACATTTCCTATTATTCAATGTGTAATACTATCAAATACATTTTATAAACAATTTCATATGTTTTATGAGCTTGGCATTGCACCACACTTGAATTTCTGTAGGATAGTTGTATTCCATTATTCTCATTCATGGTCATAGCATATTAACACCTAGTGGTTACTGGTTAGTCAAAGACAGGGACTAATATATGAAGGGCGACACTGGCTATGGGCACTGGGCAGTGGATTAGCCAGGAATTGTGTATGGGGAGGGCCAAGTTTCACAAAAAACAAATACAATATTTTTTTTTTTATTTACACTATTAGCTATTTACAATTATATGTATAGGTATACATTTWTTTATTTATTTATTTATTATTGTATTCAATTATTGTTATGRCAGAAAATTAATATTTAATCTTGATAAAATTCTAAGGTCGACACAGTCAATGGGGAGGGCTATAGCCCTCTTAGCCCCCCTGGCTACGCCACTGGTTTATGGGAATAAACAATAACAGTCAATATCCCTAAGATGTTCRGTATTGCAGTTTTAAAGTTATAGCAATATATTTGAATACTATATCATATACAACTTTATAATCTAAGATTTAAACCTGTATATTATGTCAYTGACCAGTGACTGTAATCTTTAGTCCCCAACTTTATTCGTATATGATATGTGTAGACATGGTCAATAGATTATGAAGCAGTGGTGACAAACCCATGTCACGTGTGCCAAAAGTGGCACGTATTTTCCAATTTCAATGACAAGTGAAATATTAAAATTGTGATTAAATATATTTTTCATAAAATTTTGCTTGTAAAAAATTCAAAGAAACAAATTACATAAATTAAAAAAAATATAATATTCCTATGTAAAATTAATAATGTTTTTAAAGTATCACTATATTTATTATGTTATATTATAACTTTGGSCACGTAAAAAATTGTCAAACCTTCGATTGTAAAAATTTGGCATAAGACCCCAAAAAAAGATTCGCCACCGTTAGTCGTTAGTCGTTACCATACTAGCAGCTGTAGCCTGTAGAAGTGTAGAGAATAGTTCTTATCATAATGTTATTTATTCATACACCTTATTTATCTAAAGCCGTGATATTATCTAATATCAAGACATTATATGATAACGCATACCGCATGTCGTGGATTGATAATAAAATGGACTTTTAATAACTATTTTTTTTTTCAAACTAATTTATCTACCTCAAACGTTTATTTTTTATAATTAATTACTATGCGTTTGTGTTAGATGACATATCTAAATCATAAAACGCGTTAGCCAGAGTTGCTGACTATGTTCGCTTTAAAGAAATCTCTGACCACATTGGCTGGCCGCCGATTGCGTGGGACAAAGTTGTTTCTAACTGAGGCATACAGGTGTGAAGACGTGTGGCAAGAACGGCTGGACTGTTCGTTGCTAAAGAAAGTCGAACCTGAAGTGCTGTACCACAAGTTGTCCACCTCTTTGGAACAAGGATCGAAGCAAATTAGTGCCGTTGATCTGGATGTGTTTGCTAACTCATTGACAGACAATACATATTTAGAGGAGTTRGAGGAACTCACGCATAAGTTTCGTTTGTCTGCGCAGACCGGCACGCTGCTGCCATCCACACATCATGCGGTCGTGCGGTTGCTTGTTGCAACAAATAGTGTCAATGACCTGATTAGGATACTGAAGGATCGCCTAAATTACGGAATTTTTCCCGACTACTATCTGTGTAATTTACTAATGGACCGTTTCTTAAAAGACAATGATATTCGAAATGCTRCAGTGATCGCTTCCAACCAAATGTTACAAGAAGAACTGGACAACGATATTACCAAAGCCATAGGATTATATTCTTGTTTGAAATATATCACCAATCCCCCTGAATGGGAGGATGCAAAACCAGAAACAGAAAAAGCAAATAATGATGATGATGAAGAAGATAGAAGAGTACGTGTCGACTTTTTGAGAAATCCATATTTTGATGATCACTTTGATTTGGTAGATGGTGATCACTTAGTTGGAAAAACTATGTTAGCGATTAGTAGAAAAATTAATAATACTATACTAAGCAATAGCATTAAGACTCTTGGATTAACTTATTATAACCGATGGAGTGATTTAGGTGATCATCTCAAAAAACCTGATGCTTCTGTGTATTTGGAAACAATTGAGTTGGCAATTGCTGCTATAGATAAAAGACCACCTGAAAATGCAGAGCAATTAAAAGATTCACTTTCAAAATTGAAAATCGAAAACAAAAATTTAACCGAAGAATCAAAAAACTTTGTAAATGAGGCAGTATCTAAAAATGAAGAAAAAGAAATACAGAACCAAAAAACGGTAAWTAAAAGTAAACAAAACTTTGAATATTATCTACATTGTTTAATTTATATTTCAGATTTACAAACAATGGGAATCCTTCAGGCGAGAAGAGCTATCACGATACCTTGACCATTTAAATAAGTTAAAACGTTTACAAAAGGTTCAACAGGCTAAACAGGATCTCAAAGAAAAAGAACAGTTGTTGTTCTTCTTTGATAATGAACACAAACATGACCTAGTTAAAGAAGAAAAACTGAAAAGAATGAAAAAGACAGTGATTAAAGACAAGAACCTTAAAGATGATTTAACATATGTTCCACCAGAAATCAGAAAACCTGGTTTCAAACGAGATTAAA